TAGGGGCTAGGCCTAGAGATTTCAAAAACTGCATTGGTAGCAAGCCAAATCTTTGACAGAAAAAGGCCATAACAGAAACTCAATTTTACATAAAAGATTTGTTTGTACTATATTTATTTTGATAGGCCTTGGTCTTTTAAAGCTGGGGCTAGACGTTTTGTAGGCGGCCGCTGGTGCAGTAGTAGGCCTAGGCCTGGCCTAGGTTAGGAGGTCTACTACTACAGTACTAGGCCTAGCCAGACTAGCTAGGCTAGGGTCTAGTAGTACAGTAGGCTAGGCCTAAAACATCTGCCAATTGAAGCCTAGGTTGTAACCTATTATTTGTCTAAGCTTCATAGTAAATTATTATTATCATATCTGAAACATTGTTTATTATCTAAAAAGAACCAAATTAAATATGTTCGCCTTAATTACCGATCGCATCGCCCGTGACTTCCGTCAACAAACACATGTGAGCGATTTTTTTTCTGCACACTGTTTACTTTGGCAAGCAATGCAAGGTTTAAAAAAATTAATGTTGGTGGCGCACTTCACATCTTGTGCTCAAGATGAAAAAAAAAACGATCGTTTTTCGTCGATTACAGGCATTTTTTAGTCGATTTTCATAATTAAAAAATAAATAAATAAATTTAATAAAATTTGTATTAGTTTTTGTAGATCAGTTTAGTCTAGTTTTAGTTAATACTAGGCTAATTAGAAGATATTTTGTATAGATATTTCAACTAGCAATCATTTTTTTTAATTTGCTGGTTTGTGAATTTTTACCTAGCAATTATGACAAACCTACTAGCAAATTGCTAGTTTGCTAGCGTGAATTTCGAGCCCTGGTCTTAGAAAAATCAGTTCTACAATATATCAAAAAATTTTTTTCCTCCGGAGCCTGACTTTAAATACGTATCTAATCAAATCTGGTATAATTTTCAGTTTTTTCAGTACCAAAGAACGTTCTTGCCCTGCAAAGAGCGTAAATTCTGAAGCAAGAACACCAATGCGTTAAAAAAAGAAAAGAAATGATGCGGAATTTTTAATGTAACAACCAAGTTATTTTCACAACTTTTTTGGAAAAGTGTGATTTTGTCAGTCACAGAGTGCAAAAGTATAACTATTATATTCTTGAAACTCAAAATGGTATAATCTCAAAATGGTCTTACTGGTACATTTTCTCAGTTGCGTTTCAATCAGGACTGCATGCCTTTGTGACTTATCTGCTCTGTATTTAGCTGTGTGGTCTACTGTACAAGGGGGTAATAGACACAGACATGGAATAATTACTTCTCCCATTATCAAAAAGATGTTGATAATTTCATACATTAAAAGCTGCTGATGAACCCTTCATAGCTATCAATACATTTATTATTAAGTTCTGTATCCTGATTACAGGTAGTGTACATGTGCAGTACCCGCCTCTTGTTTATTTAACTGAATAGTACTTTATTTATTTATATAAAATTGTACTCATTATCTTCATGTATATATTTGAATTGTTTTGCATAAATATATCCATTACCATTGTAAATGAAACGAAGTGAATTTATTTTCTTAATCAATTATAATTTATATGAACTGTATTTACAGCATGAGATTGAGACTGTTATTTTTCTTTTGTCCTTTGGAACAGCACCACCCAGCAAGTGAAAAGCACATCAAGACATTGTTTTCTATATGCTATCAAGGGTGTCTTTTTGACTGCCATGCACCAAAACACTAAAATTAATTAAAAATAAATATTGTCATGGCATTGTTTAATTATTTGAACACACTTTAATATTAAGTTTATAATTTTAAAGAAAATAAATTCCTATAAATATTGGCAACTTACTTAAACAATTTATTATATGTCCAGGACTTGGGTTGAGACCCATAGTTTGAATAACTGGGGCCTACTGTATACAGTTACAGTGGAATTACAGTAGAACCTCGTTTTTACGTACCCCAGTTATACGAACCCTCGGTTTTACGTACGCCTCGTATCGACGATGACATCATCAAAAACCCTGAAAATATTCAAAGCAAACGGCCCTTTTCAGAGCAACCATAAGTAAAAAGACTATAACAATAAACAAACCATAATGCAACGTATTTTCATTAAACAGCAACGTTGATTGAGTCTAATACCAGGTTGTTATAATCTAAAACCACGTGAACTGAGTGGGATGAACAACTACCGATGGTGCTCAAAATAATTGCTTTCCTCCTTAGCTTTGCATGGGAAAACTTGTCTGGTCTAATTTTCTACACGAAGCTGGGTAGGCATAGTTTCGTACATGAACTCTAATTGGTTGGCTTGCCCAGTGCACATGGGTTTACAACAGGCCCAGACAACACCACAGCTCTGTTGTTTAGAATAGGCATGAAGGGGAATTCCCAAGTTATACCTTTGTCGTATAGGTAATCTTACAATATTTTCATGTTCTTTAATTAAATAAAAGACATAAAGTGATGAATAATACACTAGACACATGGTTTTATTTGAACACTTTATTATGACATCGTAAAGTGATGAATAAAAACACTAAACACATTTTTATTCGTAGGCCTAGAGGCTAGGTCTAGCCTAGCTAGGTAACATCGTTTGTTCAAACATACGTATGTTGAGCTTTACGTACGTATTAGGTCAAAGGTTACCACAAATTTAACCCAACCTCTATTTTACAAATCCCCCGATTTACGTACGCCCTCCGGTCACGTACCGTACGTAAAATCGAGGTTCTACTGTAGATATCATAATTGTGTTTGGTTTCTGCTCATAATGGAGGTGCATATTACTAAACTGTTTAAAATTAAAATGTCTTGTTGATGTTACTTACATCAGAAAATTTAATACTGTTTGTAGGAGTGATGTTTTGCCCAACCTGACATGTTATTGTACTGAATACTCAGTATGTTTCCCAATTGCTTGTGAAAAAAATTCTTGCAAGTGATTTGTGTGAGAATCGAACCCACGACCTCCAGAGAACTACTGTAGCCTGATTTCATAACAATCAGATCACTGAGCTTGCGCTTGGTGGCTACTGTAGTGTTGAATCTCATCCCCAAATAGCCGCGTCAGGAAATGAGTGATATTTTTTCCTACAGTACCTGACGTATTATCTTACAGAGTTATATGTATGAAGCATTACCGGTATGTATTTTTATTATAAGAATCTCTCAATGAATGAACTTATGTTTTTTGTTAGGTTCTGGAAAAGTATGACAATCGACCAATGACCTTCAAGGAAATTCTGATTGACATTCAGAAGAACAATTACAAGGACATAAGGTGAGTTCTAAGAATATGGCCACAACCATCATTTAAATGAGGATATCGAACAGTGTGGATTAGATGCAGGATAGGACGGAATTAATACATACATGGATCGTCATATCTATAGGCACACTACATCAATCAGCATAGACATGCAAATTACACCATTGTTAAAATAGTATAAGATTTTAAATGTAAAACATCTTTACAGTATATTACAGATGTATTTGTCATTTTTTATAGTCGTTTAACTAGAGGTGATGAAATTTATATTTTGAACTACATAACAAGTTAACAAAATTTTCGGGGACCTATAAGCTTGATAGAACTTAATATCCAACATGAAACTTTTACCATTTGCTAATTAACTTCGGAGTCTTTTTAGGTTTTGTTGTACATTTTCCTTCATGGTAAGGCAACATTTTGAATTTGGGGTATTTTGTATACATACAGTATATTTAATGTATACTTGTGCATTAATTAAAACAAATTTGAGCATTCATTACAGTATTTAGTTTAGTAATATAGTTTAGTATATAGTTTTAAAAATAATTTCAAGATTTTAAAAGTAATTCGGACAGGTGTCACTTTTGAAGTTTAATCTAGTCCAGATAGGCCATAATTTTGTGTGCACATTTTCTCCTGTTTCACAAATCTTGAAACTTGATTTTCCTTCCGTGAATAACAAGGAATTTAGGAGTGTTTACTCAGTGCCAAGAAATTGTTGGATGTTTTTTTACTATAAACAATCCCATTTCAAGTTCATTAACCTTAAAAAAGGAGACTAAAAGCATGTTAATGACACAACATTTGCCAGAAAAAAAATGAAATGTGAGAAATAATTAGAAAATTTGCTTGTTTTATGTATGGTTGTTGAGCTTTGTATGTTTTCTTATGCTTCTGTACTGTACACTAAATGAATTGTGTTCTTGTGTTTTGTTGGGTTTTTTTTCAGTGTGTCTTGTTGAATTTATAATCAGAAGAGTAAAAATCAATTATTTTTTGTCAGTGATAAGGGGGTTTGTGTTTATGTAATTATGAAATTAAATAAAAAATATAATTACTTCATATATAACTCATGGGACAGTTAAGAGACAAGCATTTGCCTCTCATCTGTTTCCTAACCTTTGTTCCTGTTACTTTACATTGGTTGGTCGAATAAATGTTTTTGAATTGAACAAAACAATTTAGAGCAGAATAAGGCACTCTTAATAAATGTTCAAAATTGCATGAATGATTTTTGTTTCATTCCATACCTGCTTTGCCTTTGGATGTACCTTCACTGTATAGGAGGTAAGAGAGTGCAACTTTCATTTTATCCACTTTCAATTTTAATTTTTTATTTTGCTGCTTTTTAATTTGCTTACTTACTGTATGCTTGTTAATCCAGGAAATTTAACATTATTTCAATTCATCCACTTTTTTTTTTTTTTTTTTTACAAATAATGAATAGTCATTTAATAACTACAGTAATATCAACAAATTAACATATGCTACTGTATGTGGTATCTTGGAGTTAATTCACCATATTTATACATGTATATAGCTACTCATGCTTTATTCCAACTTTGTTTGACCCATGCTTTCTGACTGATATATAAATTATAACACATCAAGTTCAATCTGTCTTAATACTGTAATTTTTTGAGCAATTAAATGTAACTTTTGACCTTGATTTTAATCTAACCTACTGCAGTATTCTGAGCATCTGTTCTGGAAGGTTGATTAAATATTAAAAAATAAAAATACCTGAACTTGCAAGATGTTTTGTATTGGTTATTGGGTTCTTTGTAGTTTTATTATTTCTTGATGCTAATTACAAAACAATATACAATGTGTATGTCATTGTAAGTCATTTCTGATTAAAACATATTATTTACACACTTTATTCTTTATCATTAAGTTGATTTTAAAGCAATATATTACCTCATTTTGGTTTGTTAACTAATACTAAATAACTTTCCTTTATATATTATACTGGCCTCTGATTTAGTAGGTTTTCTGTATTTAATATAGTATGATTTGTATTACTAGAATTATTTTCTGATTGATTACTGTATGAATAAATTGTTAATAAGGAGGTAAGCTAGTGGTTAAGAAGTTGCTTACTGTACCCCCTAGTGTTTGGTTCCTGGCATAGGAGTATTTTTCACAACTACAGTATTATATATAAATATCCTAACTTGAATTATACTATTGTAGTCATACATTTTTTTACGATTTATGGTTGGTGAGTTAGCCAAGTTGGAATGTGGGACTGTCACCCGTATTCTTAAAACAAACTTTAGTCAAACTTTGGACTAGAACTTCATTTAGTGCTAGTTGCATCTTTAACTTCAATTTGTATTTACAAACAATGTAGTCGAAGTTTTAACTACGACTAAATCAAGTTCTAGTTTTAGTTCAACTGAAGACAACTGGCAAGCCACGACTATCAAACTAACCAATGAAAGGGGATATCTTTAATAGCAGACGAAATTTTAGAGAGCCGGTAACGCGGATGAATATTAAGCTGCCGTCTGTGGTTCAAAAACGTATTTCCTCATAATTCATAATAGACCATCATTCCCTTAATTAATTTTCTATAATAATAACTACTGTATATTAGTTGTTAACATATTACAATAGAGAATCAGAAACTGTTGCATGTGGATAGCAAAACATGTTAATTTCTCCTTCTGGAAGCTAAACTTGATGTCTCTTTTGTTTAACACACTGAAGATATATCAAACCTGCGTATACAATCGTTTTTATTCGTTTCACTTTATAGTGAGTTACAAAAAACACGTTTTTAGTGGGGTAAATATTTCAAGTCGGCGGTTTAGCCTGACCCTGGGCTGACTAAAAAAATCAGCCTGCAGAGGTATCATTTTAGTCGAGGTTCACGTCATTTAGTCGTAGTGCTAGTTGAAGTTCATTTCAAGAATACGAAATGACGTACTTTTAAAGATTTAGCTCGAACTACGACTAAAGTTCGTTTTAAGAATACCGGGGTTAGTCTTGGTATTTAAGATGCTCAACTTCCAACCATGGAGTTTCCAAGTCCCATGAATCCTAGGATTTGTTCATGCACATAAAGCCTGGCACACACTATGCCACACCAAAGGTCATTGGCAGGTGACGATTCACTCGAGCACTGACAGAGCTGAGATGGAATCGTCTGCTGATGCAGAGTACTATATGTCCGGCTTTACAAGAACTTCCCTCCTTACAGAAAGCCACCTTAATAATGAGATGTTTTATATTCTTAATTATCAATTATTGTTTTTTTATTCCTGATATAATTTTTACCACATCACATTGATAGTCATTTCAACATTTATCTCTTCTCTGCTACCCATCTCATACTACTCATATTAGCATTTTATGCACCAATATATTTTACTATATATGCACATATACAACTTGCTTGCATTTACTGTATTAAACATATTCTATTATACATTATGATAGAAACATACACCACACTTATATTACTGACATATTTATTGTGATTTGCCCATATAAATGAGATGATGTCATCACATTATTATGTGCATATCATAGATATTTGTCATTTTAAAACTATGGACAGCACTTTAAGGCATTGTATTAATACATCCTAATTAAGAGGGTGTGGGCATCAGTCTACAGGGAAGGTACAGTATATTTAAAATTTCGCTTTATTTTCTTTGGTTTTTGGTTGAATTTTCTAATTGTCTAACATAGTGTTATAATTCTAATGCATTAAACTTTTTTAATTTTTCAAAATCCTGGGGTGTGGAGAGTGAAGTAAGTGTCGCATAAAAAAAACTACAGTATCATTAATTCTTATGAAACATTTGTATTCAATTACTGTACATAATATATTACATACAAGATTATATTGTGTAGAGGTTCTCAGTGGCATATCTAGGGGGATGTGCGGGAGCGCATGCCCCTCCAAATATTACTCCACCCCCCCCCCCCCCCAAAAATCACGGTCAAGTAGTTAAAAATCACCTAAAATCACCTTATTTTGTGAATTAGCGCCCCTCACTTCACCTTCGTGCCCCCATCAAGCCCCCCTACCCTCTATTTCAAGACTTTTAGATACGCCACTGGAGGTTCTCCTCATGCCTAAGTTTGCAGTGGACCTGTTACTGTACTTGTTTTTATGTCAGTACAGTACATACTGTAGGCCTTTTAATAGCTAGAGTATGGTTTTTTAAGCTTCATAATATAATTAAGTTGTAGTATAATATAATATTTTTTTTTTAGGGGAACTGAGCCATTTGCTTGTCTGAATGCTATGTTGCATTTGGGGTGTCGTGGTAAAGAAAGTCCATTCTACAAAGTGTCAGGGCTTCATGGTATATATGGATTACGGGTAAGTAGCTGTTTTTGACAGTCATCATTATCCCCATCATTATTAAATCCAATTACATCAATTGTGTTGCTCAAATATGTTTGCAAAAAAATATCAAGAGCATCCCCAGGTTTTTTTAATTCCTTATCACCATTCCTATCAAGTGTGCCCTCAATATTAATTGTTAAAGACATTCTGTTGAAATGAATATTTGTTTTACCTACTGTATATACACTGCATGATTATTAATTTTTTTTTTTTTTTTGTAATTTGTAGTAATTCCTATATTTTATATGTATTTTTTTGAATTCAGAAAATGCTGCCCTCAGGTGTGGATGATTTACTGGAGACATTAAATGAGGAAACAGAACCAACGTACGATGGTACTGATGATCCTATTCGCCCTTTACCAATAAAGAAAAGACGTAAGTAAATGATTTGAATATGGAAGTGGTTTGGCGCAGCGTGAAAGGTTTGGTTTCCCAACCTCGAGGTCGGGGTTTCAATCCCTCGCTGTGCATTTTGCTTGTGTCCTTGAGCAAGGCACTTTATCTGCATTGCTTCTCTCCACCCAGGAGTATAAATGGGTACCTGGTGGGGTTGCTTGCTCCTGCACTGAATTCAGCAGCAACACTTAGCATGTGGATCCAATGAACAGGGACAGAAGCCCTTCGTATCTGCAAAGAAAGGCGCTATATAAATAAATATGATTAGATTAGATTAGATTAGAATATGTAATCAAATTTAATCTCCCTATTTAAAGATTTCCTGCCTCATTGTATCAACAAATATCATCCTCTTTTTTATACACATAACCCATGGGCTACACAGTATAATACTCCAAGTTATAGACACCATCCCTTTCCTTTGAGGTGCGATTCCTGTTTTTGTGCTATGTTATCGTCTAGCAGTTAACCCTGGAGTAAATCCGGTATGGATGAATGATGGAATGAGTCATGAGCTAAAAATAAAAATGAATATAAGACCTGTCGTAGAAAGTTCACTAAAAAGTCACTACAGTAAACAACACAACACATTTCCTGATAACCGAGTCCCCATGTGGGATAATACCTGTACAGTAAGGCAGTATAGGGCATAGACACATGCTCCCGCTGGGAACCTATTTTTTAAAAATACCATCACAGAAGTACACTACCAAATTTACAAAATTGGAAAGAAAATGAGGATAACAGCCATTCACTTATCATATCTTGATTGTTTATTCGGTTATTTTATTTAAAAAAATCAAATCTACATTATAAATAACAAACAAGTGTAACTCAGAAGTACAGTGAAAACCACAAAAAGGAATTCTTTACCTTTATTGTACTCTTTACTGTACATATACTGTAAAACTTTACAACCTTTTATTTTATATATATATAGCTGTGTACATTCTACCGGTAAGTGCCCACAGTTACATACCCTCATTAGGGAGATTCAAGAACCAGCAACCAGGTAGCCCAACTGCAAAGGCAGCTGTGAAGAGGTCTGGCAAAGAGCACAGCCATCGGCCATGGAAGAGCTCCATCAGAAGACCACATCGGCGCCCTCCTAACATAATACCAAGGATTATCCTGAAACCATTAAAGCCCCCACCTGGTTATCAGGATAAAGATAGTAAGTGTGATGAAATGACAGTTATGAGAACTGATGGTGAGAGTGATGTTTGGTCGGCAACAATGTGGTGACGTTGCATTAGGAAGCGTGTGTTACCATTTAAAAAACATTCTAATCCCAAATGTGCACTAATGCAAGGAGTTGCACTCTATCCTCTGTCCTTTATGTAGATCTTCAGTGTGTTGTAAATGTATTTTTTGTGTTACGTTGCACAGGGTTTGTAACAATTTCTGACTGAGTTATAAAGGACCTAGGTGATGATGAGCAGATATTTTTATGGGCCCATTGTCAAATTATTCTGTAGTGTTATCCAAAAATGACAATACATAGTCTCCTAATAATCATACCCTTCTAATTAGATACCCCCTCCTATTAAAGACCACCTGCCTCCAATTAAAAGCACTTTCTGTGGTCCCATATGAACGAATGTCTTTTATCTTTATTATTTTAATTAGAGACCAAAGCTGCTAAAGACCATGGAAACCCTAGTGCCAAAAGTGGTCTTTAGGGGGAGACCCGTATATGTATGATAGTGACACTTATGTGTCCCAATTTTTAAGTGCAATCTTAATGAATGAATAAATTAGAGTCAAATGATGTCACTGTTACCCACATCAGGTGCAGTAGGAGCATCAGAAGTCAGGACAAGTCAGAGGTTGTCCAAAAGGAAAGACCTTGATGGTGTGGTGAAGTCCTTTCCTGATGGCACGCTGACAAGCAGTCCTCCTCGCTGGCAGACAGTCCAGGAAATCCTAGCCTCTGTTCCAGGATACTCTGGGAAGGTTGGTAGCAGTTCCAGTGACTTAAGCTCAGTCTACACTATCACATTTGAGGCATGTTGTGGCAAAATGGCTAAGTTGTAGCAAAAATTGAAATTCAAGTTATTGGTATTTTCAGATACCTGAGTATGTTATCTTTAAAATGGGAGGTCATTCATTCAAATTGGACATTTCAAGCCTAAGTTATTGGAAAGTGAAAGTACAGTACTCTCAGACTCAAGATAAACATGATTTTGAGTAATTGCCTTTCAAAGTTATTGTACATACATTGTTTAATAGAATGAACTATAAAAAATAACGTTAAATAAACAATTTGTTAACCACTTCCAGAACTAATACTTTGGGACATGATTAATAAGACATTAAACTGTTGATCTATAGTGAAAAAAAAATTTGGATTTTTAGGCAATTTTTTGAGCTCCCATATTTTATAGCTTATTTACTCAAAACTGGATTGTGCGACAACTTAACCATTTCGCCACAACATGCCTCATTTTATGGGACAAATTTGTGTGATGTGCCCATATATGGGCATAATGATGTCATAGTACCCCAAATTAATGGGCACAACACATATTTTGATAGTGTAGACAGAACGTAAGTAAAGTGAATTGTATTTCAAATAACTAGCAGTTGCTGAATGGGTCACCATCATATTTTGTATTCAGTTCAGTTAATTTCACATCATCAATGTTTTAGAAAAACAGATAAAATTCGCACAAGGCAGGACAAACAAATAACAACAAAAGATGATGTTAGGCCATGAAATTTTTCTTTAAAGAGTAAAACTTATTTCCAATGGGGTCCTACATAAAACAAATTATAAACAGGAAAGTACAATGATTATATATGGTAAAACTTTAAATATGTATTATATAATCATCATTCTTTATTCACAATAGAAAAATGTAACATAAAACCCAGGTCATGACTTTATCAGGTACATGCAGGGTATGAACAACAAAAAAAAGATAAAACATGGGTTTTTTGGTTTTTTTTTTTTAAAGAGAACAATTTTTTTTTTTTTTTTATCAATTACAAGGCAAGGTGAGCTTGCTAATTTGTTTTTTTTTTTAGACATTTTACATCATTTACTTTTACTTCACTTCATGCATTTAACTTAATGTTAATTAATATCCACCCACTTATTATATTTTTGGAATAATGAAATGTAATTTTTTTATACTTTTTTCTTTCTTTCACAGTCTCGTAAAAAGATGAACAAGAGGGCCGGTGGTAAGCATAATCTAGAAGCAGTAGTGCATTTGAATGTGTAGTGTTTTCATGATATATTATGTATATTACTATATCTGACATGTTTAAAAAATTGTTTAAAATGCTACTGACATTTGGATTTACTAGAGCCATTGTGCTTTAAACGTATTGAAACATATTGCTAATGTTATAAAAAAAAAATGTATCAAGATTGTAGAACGTTACTAAATTCTAAGTTGAACTGAAAACAAGAAAATTTGATGCTTCTATTTTTTGTATCTTGGTTTCCTCTATCACACCTAAACTAAAGCTCTGTCCACAATATCAAATATTCTTTGACAAAAACTGTAGTATGCCCATATATAGTCATGATGTGCCCATATATAGTCATGATGTGCCCATATATAGTCATAATGTGCCCATATATAGTCATGATGTGCCCATATAGTCATAATGTGCCCATATATAGTCATGATGTGCACATATATAGTCATGATGTGCCCATATATAGTCATGATGTGCCCATATATAGTCATGATGTGCCCATATATAGTCATGATGTGCTTATATATAGTCATGATGTGCCCATATATAGTCATGATGTGCTTATATATAGTCATGATGTGCCCATATATAGTCATTATGTGGGCATATATAGTCATGATGTGCCCATATATAGTCATGATGTGCCCATATATAGTCATGATGTGCCTATATATGGTCATGATGTAATGTCATGACCATACTTAAGCATGTCACATGCTTGTTTTTTTTCCAAATTTTTAGGCATGTTTTCAAAGATAGGGTTAACACATAAGCACCCCTGCCGTGTTGTGAATTGACCAATGCTTACTTGTGTTTCTCTGTTTTTTAGGCTGCATTGATCTTGAAACACCAGACTCCATTCTAGCAAATACAAATTTAAGGGTGAGTTTATTAAAATTCACATCTTTTCGTCAGTTCTTGATGGATCCCATAAAACCAGGAATGTTTCCTAACACCCATCAACAGTTTTTAGGAGATTATAAATTTTAGTGATGTATGCTAGCAACCATAAACAGTTTCTAGGATACCATGAATCTGGTGATGTATCCTAGCAACCATCATTAGTTTCTAATGTGACCATGTGAAACTGATGATGTATTTTAACAACCATCTACAGTTTCCATATGAAACTGATGATGTTCTTAAAAACCATAAACAGTTTCTATGGTCACCAGCAGTCTATTTCATGAATACTTAGCTGAATAAACCGACTAATTGCCATTGTCCCCAAAACGGAACACCCCTTGGTGTTCCATTTCGGGAACAATGGCAATTAGTCGGCATATCCAGGTAAGTATCTCACTCATAGATTGATTTGTGTAGTTTCCAGCAGGGTTTGTACGCGTCCTTAAATTCCTTGGATGTCCTGGAAAAACAAATGAGCATTTTCCAGTACTGGAAAGTCCTGGAAATTTAAGATTGTCCTTAAATGTCCTGGAAATTTGATCATTTACCATTAATTGCAGTACTACAAGTTGCCTAGTAACAGTAAATTGAATGAGAACTGTTCCCACTAGTAGGTTCCCACAATACTCTTGAGAGAATTAGGTCAAGTCTTTGTACGCCACCAATTCAGGAATGTTAAAGACAGAAAAAATGTCATTGCTGAAAATGGCCGACTGGCTGGTTCAGACAAACTTGTGCGATTCAGTGAATGGAGTTGTTTGGCTATGTTTTAGTAAAGGCGGTGTTTTTTTTAAAAATCTTGTATATTAATTATGTTTGCATTTCATTTTAATTCAGACATTGATAATCATAATCGTTAACTTTCTTGACATCTGCTATGGTGTTATTTGCTTTCTGTCGTGTGTTATAAACAGTACTGAAATACTAAACTTTTAATCAGTTGAACAGGTCTTGTCGCACGTGCTCAGCCCCGTGAATTCACTTTAGGTAATTCATCACTCTCCAGACGTGCACACTTGTTTAGCATGAATGGCCACTTTTTGGCCCTATCCAGCGCAAGGCAGTTAATTAAACAATTAAAGTAACCATGGGAATGTGTACTTCTGCAGTTATTTTCTTAGTGAATGGTGTTTAAATGGCATTTACTGTTAGAAGTTCTTGAATTTAGGGCAAGATATTTCGTTAATTATGTTTCTGAAGTTTACAAAATCATTGAAAAACAATGCTGGTCGGCAGCAGATCAGTGCCGGTAGGATGGTGCGATACGATAATATTTTGCTGTAGAGTAGATTATAAAAGTTGTAGGCCTACAACTAAGGTCTAATAATAATAGACCTAAATATTAATAATAATGTTATGCCCAATAGTAACGAATAATAAAATAATACAGTATAGTATAATGATGTGTTGAGAATAGAGCATAACCATTAAATTAATTAATAATATAGTACATCATTCGTTTATACAACATTTATAAACACCTAAATATATATGAAATGAGATGCATTAACGTCTCCGCAACATACACCCATCAAGGCTATTTTGTTTTAATGTATATACATCAACTTCGCCACAGCTGTTCGCTGAACAACCATCCTAGACAGGCGGTAACCCACCCCGCGGCGCCACAAAAGAACCGAGTTATTCGGGCCCGCCGGTACCACAAAAGACACGTTTAAGCAAAGATAAGACCATTGTTGTACGCGCACATTTATGTTGCCGAGGGGAGAATTCTACTTCACTGTAGGCGATCACCCCTGCCTTACTTTACCTGTACATCCCCATACTCGTGTGAGTTCCTTTGCTTACAATCAGATTTTACACGTGTGAGAAAAACCTAATTTCCCACGAGCGTGAGTAAAAGAGACAGGTCTATCGCCTCCGAATTAGAGTTTCATAAAACTTAATATACACTCAACTAACATGCATTTAAAAGTAGTACAGCATATATGTTTTATAATCAGTCGAAAAATCGCCGATATTTTACTAGCTATATATTGTGTCCTTGAAAGTTGGAAAATTTGACCTTGAATATCCTGGAATTGTCCTGGAAATTTGTTTGTTTAAAAATGTACGAACCCTGTTCCCAGGGTATCATTGACAGTTAACAGTATTTCTGATGTTTAGATTTTGGTTGACAAGTATTTAGATATTGGTAATTGTTTGTTATTTGCCTTTTAGCCATGCATCACTTTAATCAATCATTGAATCATTTTGAAAGTGTTATGGTTAACCCTGAAGTGACATGTTGTAGTAGCTTGTTCTTGTCTTTCATTACTCTGTTAAAAAAAAAAGAAATTCTTTGTGGAGAAAACATTCTTTTCATTTTTTAAAGATATTTTGAAGACAGTTTAATTTTATATAATCAGTTTATTAACTATTTACTATTTTATTTCTAGGCCCTCATTAACAAGCATACCTTTGCCAGCTTGCCACCTCATTATCAGCACAAGTTAATATCACTTCTTCCTGAACCCGATAGGTACAGAGGCTCAGATAATGTGTTAAGGTATTCTTTAAAGCAGTATTTATATATTTAGTGCCCATAAATGTATCCCCTTAATAGGTGTGTCCCAAAGGATGTTCTACTGTAACTACATAATTTGAGGATTTTTATAGTTCAAAGTCTGTAAATCATTGAAAGCAGCAATAAATATTAAATGGCATTATATGTGTTATTGTGTGAGAAAAATATTTTTTGTTCTAATTGTCAAAATCTAAAAACTTTTATTGTTTTTACTATATGATTAATATTATAATATTGCAACTAATTTACTATTACTATTATAACATTGTTATTAGTATTATTATAATTATTATATCCAAAACTCATAAATCCTTTACTGAATCTAATCTCTTATTTTGGAAGGATATCATCATCAGCAATGAGTAATGAATTCTTTGCAAGGGCCTGCACCAGTTGGCGTGAGAGCTTATCAGAGGGCGAGTTCACACCAGAGGCACAGTTAAAAATTAAACAGGAATTGGAAAAGGAAAAGGTTAAGCTAGATCCATGGAAGGTAACATTTTCCCCATAATCTATTGTACTATTAATAGATTTTACTTGTTTTTGTCCCACAGTTCATTGCATTAAAATAAATTATATTGGGTTTGCCCTCAATTCATGCCCTAAACTATTTCTAGGGATTTTTTACTTTCTCTTTGGAAAACAAGATTTGGGTCATTTGGGCCTGGTCAAAACAAATTTTTGCTTTTTGTCTTTTAATGAGTTTGTTCACATTTTGTATGTACAACTTATATTTAATTAAGTTTATATTTTTAATTGACTTATTTTATATTGATGCATTCATTATTTATATACTTATTTTTTCATATATGGTTAAGTATTCCTAATTGATATTTTGTTATGAAAATAATACACTAATCCCTTATTCAAAAATGTTCTCTATTTCTTTTTTTTTAAAGTTAAAACATTTTGAACCTGTCTGGGGTCAAAGTACCATACCGAAAAACCCAGATACAAACTATTCTGTGGAACCTGCAACTACTACAACTACAAAAGTATCACCAGTGAAAGTTATTGAAAAACAGACAACTGTCCCCAGTAGTGGAAAACCAGCAATGGCAGCTCTGGCAAGTCTCCGGAGTCCTGTTGTAACACGTTCAGTCACTGCAACGTACAGACCTACTAATGCATCGCAAATAAAAATTGAGACATCTAATAAATATACAGAAAATATGATACACAAAGTAAAAAGCGATATTAAAACTGTTCCGAGTGTGAATGTGCCGATTGTTATGTCCAACACGGAGACAACCAAAGTTGAAGCTGATCTAGAGGTTGCAAATATTATCCCCGAGCCAGGCACTCCTTCCTCATCTCCATCTCCTTCACCCTCACCAGCTAACACCTCACAGTTCACATGTAGTAGTCTCCTATCCAGTATGGCAGCTGAAAGTCAGAGAAATAAACATTCTGCAGGTGAGACTAGTACCACCGCATCTTGTAAATCTGTATCTAAATTAGCTGAAATGCTTAAAAAACCTTCGCAAGTTGTGTCATCGGACAAATCTAATAAACGTCCTGCCACAGAGAATCAAGGAGCACCGGAGAAACGTATACGAAAAAATGAAAGTGAAGTAAAGCATCAGCCACGAATTATACTGAAGTTTACCAAAGGAAAATCATCACCACATGTTCGTATGCAAACAGAATTAAAACCAGTGAAAACCACTGTACAAGTGAAACACCAGTTGCCAAGGGTGAAAGGCCAAACAAAGACTCTAGCTCAAATTAAAGCTCAAAACCAAACCAAAGCAAAATTCCAAGCACGTAGGCCCGGTACTAATAAAATGAAGACCCCTTACTACATGAACTCATTCGTCCCTACAAACGCAACTGCTGTCGTGTCGCAGACACATTCTCAAGGTTCGACTCACAGTGTACCGCAAACCTCAATTACTCTTACTGCCCCCTTACAATCAGTTTCCCAGTTTATTGTTCGTCCTGTGAGTGTTGTCCTCATGGGTAAACCGCAGATGCAGTTGATATCCACACAAGCACAAAGTCTGTCTGAAAATGTGAATCCATCTGGCACCATGCCAAGTAGTATCATGACCCCAGGCAAACAGGTCATTATCCTGCAGACTACTACGCCTTCTGTAACTGTACCAAATACTCAGTCTGTTGTAACAAGCAGCACACCCCTATCACCAAATGGAAGAGTCCATGTTGTTGAAAGCGAAAAATCAGTTGAGAATAAAGAACCAAACACTGCACCTAATACACAATTAATAAATACACCGATTAAACCAAGTCAGGACAGGACAATAAACGGGACGGCACTCTCGCTTTGTGTGACACAGCCATCTCAAAATGTTGTCTTAGAAAATCACAATCCAAATTCACTTCTTCCAGCTGGACTTGTTAGTGGAAACAAAGGAACAGTCTCACCATTCAAAGCAGACAACTTAAATGCAACGACAAAATGTACGTGTCGGGTTAAAGCAATGATTCTATGCCAGGGCTGTGGGGCCTTCTGTCATGACGATTGTATAGGACCGACAAAGCTCTGTGTTACTTGTCTTATACGATGATACTGAAAAAATATTATGAAAAACAGTAAAATATTTCTGCTTATATAGGTAATAGACATTGTATTTTATGTGTAAGGTGTGGACAGAGATAGTGTTGTTAGTGTTAAGTACTTATCTTACCATTTTATGACCTGGCTATGATATTCAAATAATAGTACCAGTGGTTGTGAAGGGTTAAAATGGGTCAAAATTAAACTGAAGCTAAAATGTGCTAAAAGTTAAGCCCTGCATGCATAATTTATGTAACAGTGAATACAGTAAAATGGTGAGACACTGCAATATCTGCCATCTGCAGTCTTACCTAACTGTATTAATTTCAGCTGTTGTAGTTTTTTTATTTGCATCCCTTACAAAATATATGTTTCTTGTCTGCTGCATTTAATTGGTTGGTAAGTCTGGGTTAAGTGTTTTGGTAGTTGTGATGGTTAAAAGGTAAAATGGAGTGGGAAAAAATGGTTTAAAAAAAAGTAATTATGAGGCCTAGAGAATGGACTCCTTTCTAAAAATTGTATGGAAGGCTAGTATTCTTAAAGAACTTGCATTAATTGTTAGAGTTATTTATTTATCAGTTCTTGTTTACAGTATGGATGTTTAGGTTTACACCTCCCTGCCTTTAGAGAGTGTAATTTGCATATGTTTTTTTTTTGTTTTTTTGACAAATTGTAAATACATGAACTATGACAAAGAGCCACATCAAAAATAATATACCTTATTACTGTACTAAGTTTAATCAATATTGGTACACTTTATTTATTTATTTTTTTGGAATGTTCATATTGCTCCCATATAGATATTAGCAAAAGCTGACCCAATAGTATTTTTTATTTGTGTGTTACATGATTTTTGTTTTGCTTTGTAAAAATAAATTTGATATAAACATCCTAGTATTTATTAGTCCTTCAATTTAATTTTATTGCTGTATACTTCCTTTATATAAAAAACCATGTTATGTTTACATATAGTATTACCTTTTATTTGTGACCCATGCTCTAATAGTAACCCACCTTAATATTTAACTAGTATTAATCCAGTGGTGTTAATATTAGAAGGGGGAGGGGGTTCTGAAAAAAAATCAGAGACATCGGCAGTATATTATTATATTCCAACAATATTGAGTAGTTGGATACGTAGCCTTTCTGCCATGAACCGATAGGCGTGAAGAATGCACTTTCATACATAAGACGTCGAACCAAAAACTGTTTTAAATTTTATTTAATCCAAGGCTAGTTGGGCTAAGCCTAGTTTGTCCGATCTGCCAACCTATGCGTAGGTAGGTTAGCATGCCTTTTGTAAGCCAGGACCCAGTAGTATTTTGTTACGTTTCTTCAGAGAGGGGATCGTCCAAAGCCACAGATGTAGCAGATGCTATGATGGTTGAAAGATGTAAAGCTGAGGATAACCTGTGGCCAACGCAATTCCATGGAAAATGTACTCGTCTAGTGCTCACAAGGACCCGAGTACAACGCAGTGGGTGCCCAGCTTCATGTTACAATACAAGTTGGACAAGTTCAACTGTAGTCACAATCATTTTTTTTGCAACAAGAAGCGTGGGTTGGTTAAATAAAAAAATTTCCTCCAACTAAATTTGATGCCCACTCCCCGATATACAGTATACTGTACTCTCTTGTACAATTTTACTACAAAATTACTACCATCACATCTCTAAGCAATTTTGATGACAACTGCAGAGAACATATTAAAAGATATTAAAGAAATACACAGTACAAACTCGTCAGATATACAAGCTTTAGTTTTACTAAACAAATCACAAATACACTACAAACTTTAGTTATACTAAGCGAACATAAATGATGTGCTGCAAAATTAAGTAGAGTAAACTGCATTTCAGAATTTTGGATGAAGGAAGCTAGACAGGATTCATACAGTATAACAAAATCTGTGAAACTGCCTTTCAACAAACTAAATCTGCTACAGCATAAATCTTTCAAAAAAATGTTCTCACAATCTACTACTTATTTTTTATTATTTTTCTCATTCTGGACAACGCCACCAACGAGAAAGTTAATTTAGAGACGGAATAAAAAATCGAGTATGGGACGCCAATTAAATTAGGTATGGCGCACACTAAGTGCAATAAAGAGTGAGTAACCCAAAATTAGGGCCTGGAACCCAGGCTATCTACTATGTACTGTTTTGTTATTGTATAGTTTGCTCATTTGATTTTTTATTTTTATTGTTCATTGATCAGATAGATGAATTATAAAACTAATATTCAATGACAGACGTCCATCTCCAGGCATGTATGCCGCAGACGCTAATTTACTTCAACGTCACATACGTGGCATCGGTTGTAACCCCGCAGTTGTTGTCCTGCTGATTTATCAAGACATATCCATTATTTCCCCAGTTCGTGGACCATGAGTTTTTGATGAGCCAGTAGTGTTCATTATTGAGCTTACCATACCCTACAGCCAGTACTGCGTGATCTAGGTCCTCGGGTTTGTTTCCTGTAAAATAGCGGTAGACGGTAGACAAGTTAAAAACAACTTCTGATAATATTGAACATAAAAGTGGTTAAAAAGCAGTCCATGAAGATTTGCCGAAGCACACTGGAAACATCAAAGCTTAGATGCTGCCTTCATTTCTAAACAAAAAATTCACTTTGGTCTTCTGACCCACCTTTATGCCCTCCCCTGTATATGCCTCACAACTTAGGAAAGGTTCAAATTTACTACAATGAAATTGACAGTAAAATTTTTTAAAGTTCAAGGGCATAAGTACAAAGCCACAGTCTCCTTCTGAGTAGTGAGTAAGCTATACCTACCACATTTTGGTTCATAGTATACGCCACTTGAATAATACGAAAGGGATTTATGTGCAGCGTCTATGCCAACAGAAATTGGTCCGATCTTTGCAATTGCTGACTTTAGTGCTTCCTGACTTCCACTAGTGATGTTGTAGTATTTGGATATCTGTATAACTGCATTTGAACTGTTGAAGTGGCATTTTCCATTCTAAATATAAAGCACAGTTTATAATATGTAAAGTGGTACTGTAACCCATTCAATTAATGATAATTTATTATATCTATAAATTTACACAATTGAGATGATGTAAAAACCATCTATGTCACAGGTATTCAGCCTTTTTAAGCTGGTGGCCAGTTTCAATCAGTTGAAGCCAGCGGCGGGCTGACATAATTGTGTACTTCCAATTTTATTAAATGACAGCCCCACAAATTCTCTTTTCTTCCTAAATTAGGCCTATTATAATGTAACCTTTGTTTTTCAACATCAACTATGACAGGTCTTGTTTTGTAAAAATGAGGGAATGCAGTATTACAGTATAAAAAACTTGCACCACAGATTCCACCCTACCACTAAATGTTTCAAGTACAAAAAAATCCACTCAATTAGGCCTACTAAGTAGTTGAATACAATGCCAGCATCAGAAATTCCTAGAAGATGAGTTTGATATTCCCAAAAAGAGCCCACTGTATCTCAGCCCCACCATACATAGGGCTGAGATGAGCAAATTTTAAAAATAGAAACCTCTAGATGCCCAGAAATGGCATTCGCAGACTCAAAATACGAAGCTGGCCTGCTGCCTGGGGTTTTAATACCAGAAAGATCTGTCTTCTGCCTGCAGGGAGTATCCGTACTCGTGTAACTAACTTAGCGCCAACTTCATTTCAATTTATTCACATCCAATAAACTGAATTATCAATAAGTAATGAAAACTAAAAAGATTTAGAATTGGAAATAAGTTTTTACCTGACCAAGGTATGGACCATAAGTGGACTCGGCCTCCAAACCACCTTTCTCCATTATCCACTCATATGAGCGCCATTCTTCACCACCATCACAACCATTGTTGCCATGCTTCCATGAGCAGTCCATTAAGTTTTGCTGCGACAGTCGAACCATTTTCCCTGTCTGAAAAAAAAAAAACCAAATTAAGTATTACAGTTATCATTATTATTAATAAAAAATGTAGGCATAATGTACACTAAATTAAAGCAGGGGTGGATCCAGAAATATCCAAAAGGTGGGGGCCTGATCAAGAGACAACACTACCCTATGGGGTTTGCAGGAATTCCCTTGGGAAATTTTTTGAAGGCCGGAAATAAACAATAATTTATATTTCTTTTTTTTTTTATTGACTTTTTAAAAAGGGGATGGTGGCCACTGAATAATGTATATAATGTAACACTGTTTGGAATTTATAACCACAAATACTTGGAAAAGGTGATAGTCTAGGGCTGGGTCTAAGGTGACGATAATATTACATACAATAATGCAAATATAGTACTACAGTATACCTTAAGGAAATAAGCGCCCTCTATTGTTCCAGTTGTTCCAAAACTCCAACAGGAACCGCAAGTTGCTTGGTCTTTAACTTGACTTACAGCACCTTTAAAAATCATTTACTTTTAAATTCAGTACTAATAAAGAAGTCGAACAGTAAATACACTACACTAACTCTCCCTTTGGCCACCCTATCCAACCTCCAATAACTCAAGCTTCCTAAAATTCAATCAGCAGTGGTGGCGCCAAAAAATTTGACGTCGAGGAGTTGGACGTGTCTGACGGAGGTTCAAAATTATGGTCAAAAATGTGCTTTTAGACCACAATATTAGGGATTGGCAATCAAAATAACTTTATTTGGATAGGCAAATTATTATTTTTTGATCTGACGTCCTAGTCGTTCGTTGGACAATAGGGGGCCAGTATATCCGACGGGAGGGGTAAAGTTCCCTTCCCCCCCCCCGCTGGCACCACTACTGAATTCAATACTCCAGCCACCCACAACCAAAACCCAGTCACTCCACTTCAACCCAATTTCCCTCCCAGCCATCTTGACTAGGAACATGAATGTTTACCCATTATTCTCCAATCCATAGAAGTTGGAAGTAAACCAGGAAAACCATCATAAGGTAAGCCATTGTTGTTTCCTGGAGTGTAGAGTCTACCACGCATGTTTCGCAGTTCTTCATCAAATAGGTCAGCAAGGTGGTTGACCTCGACCTTGTATCCAAGGTGTTTCCGGTTGGTTGAATGAATGAACCTGATGCAATCACATAGACAATGCAGAGATCCAAATATAAAGAGATAACTTGATAGAAAATATATTTATATTTTCAGAAAAAACAAACAGGAAGACACTTATAGACAGGTGGATAATAAAAAGTAGAAAAAACGTTTGATAATCCAGAAATAAAAATACAATAATGAAGAAGACCATTGCATTATGCACAAACTCATGTATAATAGTGTAATGATATAAAATACTGTGCAGATCAGACAAATCTTCTGTGAAAAACACAAAACAAAAATAAAGGTAGAAGAAAAAGCAGGTGAATGTGGGGCCAGCAAATAGGTATACAAATAGACAGATATTTGTATAAACTACTGTATGCATACTGTTACATGTTGCATGAGATAATGAATTTGAGAAATTTGCTTATCTTACCTGACATTATGTTTGAATGTTGCTTGTCTCTTGCTATGTTCCTCATCATCACTGTAACGCTTACCATGTAAATCTTTGTAGCTCTCATAAAACTTATTATAACGGTCACCCTTATCTGGGCTGAAGATCTCTTGATGTGGGTTGGTGGCGATGTGATGCTCAATGCCAGGCCCAGGGAATGAGCCACACTTGAGGCCTGCAAAAAACACAAATCAATATAAAGGCATTAAAGTAAATGCTGCATACTCTTTTGATAGACCTGCAGGTTGATAGATCTGATTGATTAATATAGAGTAAATCAAAATTAGAGTCGGTTTTCCAATGGTGGTAGCTAATTATGCAACAATAGCTGTCTACCTTTCGGCAAATCGAACTGGAAGTCGTCAATCGGCTTAGTGCTGTACACATAGTAATCTACGTAGTAACGATCGTAATGTGACCCAATCAACGTGTCGTAGCCAATCATCTCATATCGCACAGGTCGTGGCGGCTGGGTCTGCGATACCATGAATGTGTAGGTGTTGGTCTTTTTTCCTACCTCAGTCACATTTTTCCAAACATCGACTTGGACATTGTTGGCGATATCTTTTCCCACATACTAAGAAATCAAATACAAGAATACAAAATATTATAAAAACTTTTTTTGTTTATTCTGCTTAGACTTCTGTTTAGATATGAAGGGGAAAAGTCAAAGGGTGGAGGAGTGGTGATGTGTGCAAATGCCTCTGTCACTCTGCTCTAAACCTGAAAAATATTAAGCAATAGAAATAATTTTTCCCTCAATAATATAAATACTGTACAATCAAATTATTGTATATATAATGATGTAATTCTAATCAAATTAATAGGCCCTAAATATAATTTTTATGCTCTATTTTTTTAACTAAATTTTTAAAGGAACTTTTGAATACTGTATACTGGCTTAACTGTTGAGTAACTGTCACTCATATATTTTTATACAATTTCTATCCATTCTGTAACCCTGTTTTTTGCAAATGTCCCTCTCTGTCTCCCTTGCATGTCCTGTTATATGGACGAGTCTAGGGCTTCTATGTTCCTTTATCGATTCGTTTTTCTTGATGTGATCATTTTCTTTGTTTTTTTATTCTGTATGTTTTCTTTGTCGAATTTGAATAAAGTGATGAATAAAAAAAGCAGTAACAGCACTGTATATATTAAAGCTATGCAGAGTTAATAAAAATGAAATATCTATAATACTAAACTAATGATTTGAAAGTTGTAAGCGCATCACATATTAAATTATTCACGCACTGTACACAAAAACGTACCTTGAAATCAGACACGTCTGGGATGAAACTCTGAATGGAAATGGTAACAGAATTTGTACCATTCACCTGGAAACACCCAGTCTTCACCTCATCTGTCACAGTTTCAGGGGAAATACTATAGGAGACACCATACTCGAAGCCTGTCTTGTTTTCAAATAGGTACACTGTATCCAAACCTATTTAACAAAATATTTTCTATTTACTTTATTTATTTATGTAAATGAGCGGTTAAGACACCAGGCTTATCTGGAATCATGGGTTTGACTCCCACCCAAATCACTTACAAGATTTTTTTAACAAGCATTTGCTGAGCATTCAGTACTAAAACACATCATGTTGGGCAAACATGTATTTGCATTATTTATGTTGTTTGTAATGATATTAGTTTTAAAATAGCATAATAAAATAACCGAAGTTTGCATTCTATCCCATCTTAGACAAATATGTTATAAGAAACTGTGGTAGATTCTGACACCTTTGAGTGCATGCACTTTAAAGTGCACTAATGTTTAATCAAAGGTGTTTTCTGAGAATTCAGAGTTGGTATTTTATTTATTTATCAAGTTTTATATTTGTTTAAAATATATAAATTTGCAGATATTATAGCCTACATCATCAATATTTTTATATTAAAATTTTATTAATGGCAATTTCACTTTTTTAATAATAATGGGTTTATTTTGTCAAAAAACCCAATTTTAACATATTTTATTTATATATATAATAAATATATATTGATAAATTATATTAAAAATAGTAAATATAGTAAATAATATATTTATCAATAATAATAAATACAATACAGAAAATAAATAACTAAAATCAACAATTAATATTAATTGTTCCAAAGGCATAATTATACATTAGCAGTGCAATGCATTTTTTTGTTGTTTTCTTTAGAATTTTGTTAAAACCTGATTGCTACCATACCATTGTAGAAATCAACACGACTCCTTTTGTTATCCACATCATAGAAGATTTGAAACGGCTCATCCAACTCTGCATACGGAAGATGAAGAACCCCGGAGGAATGATAGCTTGCTGTGAACTTTGGGGGTGTAGGATCAGCTGCAGTTGACACTGCTAACATACCTGTTTAGTACAAATAACATACAGGGATTTTTAATATTTTGCATTGAATAAAATCAACTTCAGCACCAGCATTTTAACAATATCTTAGTGAGTTTGGATTTTCTTCACCTGTTATCACCCCTGAGACCCCCTTTAATTCTCCCCTCCTCCTCCATCCATCACACCCAGCCCCATTGGATAGCATTTCACCTTGATGCTGCAAATGTTTATATATGATTTTACAAAAGGTTGATGTAGAAGTTGAAAACATTTTTAGTCCTACTACGGTCCAAAAGGGGGTTCGCCCCTCCCCCTAACTCCGCCCCAATTATAGGCCCTGTGTTTATAACTTGGCCAAGCGGATAATTAACTTTTGGAAGTGGTTATTCACACGGTAGACCATGCGAATAAGCTCTTATGAGTCTTATTCGCACGGTAGACCTAGCCAATCAGCATTTGACGTTTCATGACGTCTAACCGTGCGAATAAGTTCTTATTCCCAATTAGTACAGTACATCGTGAATTAACAATATTAAGGTTTAATGACCTAAATATTTTACGAGAAACTTACTTAATTTGTTACGGGAATACCTAATTGAACCGAAATACCTTTTCAGATATCATACAAACATTGTCTGCCGTGCAAATAGTAAATAATACATTATTTGCACGGTAGACGTAGCCAATCAGCATCGTAGAATGTACTGACACTGTCTTCAAAAAAAGCGCCAATAAAAGTTTTCTTCTTTGTTTGGCTTCTGGCAATGTTCACAATCACAAAAGCAGCCATGAAAGCCTGATGTCAATGAAGGTCGGTCAGGCATTTAATGATTATGTACAATTCTTTTGTTGATTTCATTAAAGAAATTTCAGGACGAAAATAACCTTGTTGTAGAGTACTGCACATACAACAATCTTTCGACAATTATCACAGCTCCCATGGTCTCTGAGCGCTATGTGGTTTGTGTATATAATTAGGCCTACAATCAATGTATTCAGTAGCATTTCGAAAACACTCCCACACATTGGAAAAGGTCCAAAAGGCAGTGAAGAATGTACATCTTATTTTCCAGTACAATATATAGTACATATATTCGGTGGTGGATCCAGGATTTATTATGGTAGAGAGGGATTAGGAGAGACTTTTAGAGATGTGCGAGTCTACAGGTGGGCTAAGTGCAGCAAACTGCAGCCAACAAAATTAAAACCCTATTAAACTGCACATAAAATCGAGTAATTTTGCATCAGTTTGGCATACTCTCATCCTCCTCTGTTCCAATTCCCATCATGGTTGGTGCTAAGTAATTAATTTTCTTTTGTTTCCCCATTTAATATTTTTTAATGGAATAAAAATCAATATCACTACTAGACCTTATGATAGGGGACTATAATACCACCAGTACATACTCCACAAAGGCTTTTTTTATGGCAATTTCTCAAGGATAGCTTAAGAAAAATGTAAAAGGTCTGCAGACACAATGCTAAGCTAGGACCTATTGCACTTCAGTTAGGGTTATCGAATCGACTGTCTGTGCTGTGCCCAATTCATACAGTATGCCATGAAATAATTATCATACAGTATTTACTATCTACAACATTCAACCATGCGAATAAATTTTTTTTAACAATTCGCACGGTACCGTGCGAATTAGCTCTTATGAGTCTTATTCGCACGGTAGACCTAGCCAATCAGCATTTAAGCTTTCATGACGTAACGGCTGTCATACCGTGCGAATAAGTTCTTAATCCTAATTCGCATGGTACCGTGCGAATTAGCTTTTATGAGTCTTATTCGCACGGTAGACCTAGCCAATCAGCATTTAAGCTTTCATGACGTAACGGCTGTCATACCGTGCGAATAAGTTCTTAATCCTAATTCGCATGGTACCGTGCAAATTAGCTTTTATGAGTCTTATTCGCACGGTAGACCTAGCCAATCAGCATTTAAGCTTTCATGAAGTAACGGCTGTCATACCGTGCGAATAAGTTCTTAATCCTAATTCGCATGGTACCGTGCGAATAAGTTCTTAATCCTAATTCGCATGGTACCGTGCGAATAAGTTCTTAATCCTAATTCGCATGGTAGTGCGAATAAGTTCTTAATCCTAATTCGCATGGTACCGTGCGAATAAGTTCTTAATCCTAATTCGCATGGTACCGTGCGAATAAGTTCTTAATCCTAATTCGCATGGTACCGTGCGAATAAGTTCTTATTCCTAATTCGCATGGTACCGTGCGAATTAGCTCTTATGAGTCTTATTCGCACGGTAGACCTAGCCAATCAGCATTTAAGCTTTCATGACATAATGGCTGTCATACCGTGCGAATAAGTTCTTAATCCTAATTCGCATGGTACCGTGCGAATAACCTCTTCCTTAACTTTTTATTTCATTCAAGACATTTTTATACCTTCTTTTGCAAACCTATTAATTTTCATCAGAGAAGGGCACAAAAAATGATAATTAAAATTTTTTTTCTTATTTAGCATATGGTTTTGCCAAAAACATCCAGACAGAGGAGAAAATAAAAATAAAATGTTATTACTGAATGTAAACAGTGTAGTAATGGGATGATAAATGCTTTAATTTTATATAATTAGAAGAATATACATATCTTACAGTATTTTTTGAGATTTCAAGCAGCGGTGGGCCTAAGAACAATGTTTTTCAAAAATTTCCATTTTTTTTATTATAACTGGTGCGCTAATTTGCCAAAAATAAAATTTTACCTTTATTCAAAATCGATCTGCCCGTGTATATATAATAAACTGGGGAGGGATAAGGACCCACGCCAGGAAGAGCTCCCACGCCCCGTAGGGGAGAAAAAACAATTCGTCGGCGAGCAGAAAATATTATTATGTATTTTTACTCTCGTTTAAATAACCCTATGAAACCCCTGGATCACTTTTCGAGAAATGTTGAGCAATGTCCAACACGCACGCTTACGCTCTCGTCGGGGGTTGAGCAGCTGTCGGGGATATCAGACCTCCATTATTATTATTATTTATTATTTGGGAAAATCCTGGTGCCACACCTGCAACTAGCCAAGCTACTAAATGGGCACGGATAGGCCATAGATAGAATGCTTCTCTCCACCGGGTTTTTCCAGGTATGCAGGTTGCAGGAACTATACAGGAACTACAGCCATCTTATAATTCACTTGAAGATCCACCCCACGACTTTATGTTATTAATATCAACTGTTTTAATATCCTACCTATTCTATCCTAGTATCCTACTATTGCAATACAAACCTGCTACTACCAAAACCAAAATAAACAGACATTCTACTTCAGCCATTGTTGAAGCACGTGATACAACTACTTGACTGAGTACCGATACTGATAGCGTTTGCTCTTTGTGTAACTTACTTCCCTGTCTGTATTGTATTGAGGGGCCTAATTGTATTGACAGTCACAACTGTTGTTCCAGAATGAGTAGCAGGTCGACCAGCTTATGTAGGGCCTATACATTCTAACACCAGGGAGCCTAACGGGCCCAGGAGGACCAGTAGGCCTGCGGGTATGTCGGAGTACGAATTGATTGCAATAAAGTTAAATTTAATAGTGCGGGCAGGGACGTAAAGTGGCGGCTCTAGGATATAATTTATGGGGTGGGGGAGGGGGACCTTAAGTATTTATGGGTGTAACTAGCGCAGCGTTATCTGAGGGACGAAGTCAGGGATGGGTATGGGAGGGGCTCCTCCCCTCCTATAAAACGAGATTTTTCTTAAAAAATTGGGACTTGACCAGAAAACCGTGAGGTTTCCTGACGAGCTTTGGCCAGTGGGGGGGGGGGGGGCTTGACCAGACCGATGGTGGAGCTTAAGCCCCCTTGCCCAGTGGTTGGGGCTGAAGTGCGAAAATTGTGGGAAATAGTACCTCTAATAGCCGGAAATGTCACATTTATATAGTACTACATTCGTCATCACCACATCACCATTATAGTAACAATGAAGCGCCAACAAATCTTTTATCATCGATTTTCCGCAACCATAGAGATCTAATTAATATGCGTGATGTACCATAGAAAATAAAACTTCAAAACATTGTCTTTTTTAGGTATTTACTTTACTTTACTTACTTCAAAGCCTTTAGTCCACACCCACCTCAGCCCTATCATGGGTTGGGGAATAATACCTCAAGAAATGACAGTACAATTTATCATCATCACATGATATCTTATCTGCAGTTATCGGCAATAATAGAGATCTAATTAACTTCTGTATTGTACCATAGAAAATAAAACTTCATTGTCTTTTATGTATTTACTTTCATTTACCTTCTTCGTGTGCCGAAAACCAATCTTAGAGTACCTTTTCTCATAGATAGGCCTACTTACCAAAACCCTTAAAATATGTAGGGGACGTGATCTGCGTCCATGCTGGTAGCGATTTTTTTTTCCGTACGAAACATTTGTATGAAACTTCACTCGGGCCATCTCGGATTGACTCGAGTGAGTACGATACGAGGAACAAGGGCAGACACTTCGCAATGTCGTGACGCTCGAGTTTTACTATTATTGCTCTTTCTATGTTTACCTACAGTAGGCCTATGAAATTTCACGGACTTATGTGATGTACGTCACTGTGTAACTAACTGTGACCTTCTTGGATGTTATTAAATGTTAGTATATTATCTACAACAACAACAGCTAGTACCTCCAGCTGTTATAAAGTGTAGATAGGTACAGTTATACCAAAGGCTAGAGAGAAAGAGGATAAACTATAGGCCTAACTACAGGCTGAGGTCTTACCTAGGCCCCTCCTTAAACTAGGCCTAGGGTCATAGGCTGACACAACAGTCACGCTTCACATACTGACATGGACTGAAATTTTGGGAAAAAAATGGGACAAAATTGAAGCATGAAATGAAAAATAGAGCGCATAAGAGAAATATTAAATAAATAATATACCATTCCGGCGTTATTGAACTTGTCCAAACTATCATTGTAATGTAATTAATGAATAATAATAATAATTTCAGCATTAATTACCTTTGGCCTAAGCCTTGTAATGAAGAACTTACAGATACTGTACTATTTACTAGGCCTATAAATAATAATCGCCCAAGGGGAATATCTTTTGTGTTATTTCCCCTTGACGTCGTTTTTTTAATTGTCCTCTAATTCCTCCATTGTCTAAGTTCCCCTTAAGGTACAGGTAATAATAATAATTAATTAATAATAATAATAATCATTTCAGCATTAATTACCTTGGCCTACTTGTAATGAAGAACCTATTAATAATAATAATAATATGTCGCTCTTATATAGCGCTTCATGCACAATGCCTCTAAGCGCTTCACATTACTACCCCGGTCATTGAATCAAACATATATGGAACACATACTCAGCTCCCTATTAGTATTTCAAGGCCTATATAATAAACTAGCCCAAGGGGAATATCTTTTGTGTTATTTCCCCTTTGTCTATGTTCCCCTTAACGTACAGGTAATAATAATAATAATACATAATTATTATTATTATCATTTCGGCATTACATGCAATTAACTTGGTCTAGGCTTGTAATCAAGAACCTGCCGATTACTATGCCTAATATTAATAACTAGCTCATTATTACATTCATTTGGTGCTCTGCCATTTTGGCAGGTCTTATGGCATCCAGTATTTTAGAGCTGCCTATTCTCAGCTCTTCTCTTAATTTGAAAATAACTGTCATTCTGTTTCATTCGATCAGTGATGAAGAAAAACGCGCTTTTCCTTACGCTTTGTGCTTTTCCCAGAAAGCGTTTTTAGTAGGCCTAGGTAATTATGCAAAACCCAGGCCTAACTAAAAAATTAAAATTGTCATAATATGTAACTCATGTTAAAATAACACTTTTCATTACTCGTGCAGCTTAATCAAATATTATATGTCATTTTAAACGACCCATTGGTATTAACATGGTAACATCAATGTATTTTTAAAAATCAGACAGCGACGTTCTCTCAGAAGTTGGTTGATCTGTAGACGTTTATCTGTTGATGACCTTTTGACCTCCTGAATTCTGCAATGAGATTTTCGGGTCGATTCAGCCGAGACGGCCCGAGTGGAGTTTCATGTAAATGTTTCGTACGGAAAAAAAAATCGCATGCTGGTAACCAGTAGAACAACTACAAGGGGCGGACTTGACGTACAACACCATGGTTGAAAAAATGGCTCCTCTGCCGGAAAATAGTAAATACATTCGATTCTTATCCTACAATCATCAACCTAATAATAATTATCGACATCATCATCACCGCCATCATAATTATCGCCATCATCATAATCATCAACCATCATCATCATCATCATCATCATCATCCTCATCATCATCATCATAACCACCACCACCATCATATCAACATCATCATAACCACCAGCACCATTATTATTCTTATTATTATCATCATCATCATCCTCATCGTCATAAAGGAATGGCGCATTAGGGAAAAAAATAAATAATTGTTTTTTATACCACTCCAGGTGGCGTTCTACATATACATTACTCAATGGACTACGAAGAAGACTGCAATTAATAACAAATGTGAGTACAGTATTGAACATTTTTGATCGTTAATTCACTAGTTAAATGGGAATTCTGCCATCATTTTTATGGTTATTGTTTTTCTTATGTTTGTTAGGCAGCCGCATTGATAATTTCCTCGACAGAAGCATGCACCCTGACATGGCTGCATTTTACTTAACAATATTCAATTTCTAAGTGACTCGCTAAAACCACCAAAGACCTGAAACCAGGGACGAATCCAGGGTGGGGGAGCCGTGGGAGCCGCGACTCCCTCGACCCCCCCCCCCTTTGTACACAGTGTTAAAATTTTAAAGCTTTTTCTTGAGCCAATACAAATTCTTTCCTGGGATCACTTAAAATGAATACTTCTAAAACATGTAAATATGCATCAGTACACGCTATACATATGCCTAATAGAACACACAGGCCTAAGCGTGATTTAAAAAAATCTTAAATCCATAAATCTCAAGCCAGGTCTTTTAAGATGGAAATGCGATACTGTGGTTCAATTTCGTTTTTATCCTTTTTCAAGTTTCTTTAAATTTTTGTTTAATAATACTACTACTAATAGTACCGGTAATAATAATAATAACAATAATGATGATGATGACGATAGTAATAAAGAAAATTGTACTAAATGCGAAAAAAGTTGTGATTTGTTGATCATAATATAGTATATATAGTTAAAGCTTTGTAAGCTATAGTTAGGTCTAAGTTGTCCTGGATATTAAGTAGATCCAGTGGTGGCTCTAGGATATATTTTCTGGGAGAGCTAAGTTGTCCGACAACGGGGACTTGAGCTCGTAGGCTCGAGCTGGGAAAAGGGGTTGAGAGGGGTTCCCCTCACAAATGAGATTTTTTTTAATAATGATGACGATGATGGCGATGGTGATAATGATAATAGATAGTAATATTACCAACATTAAAAAGTGAAGAAAATCGTGCTAAAGACAAAAAAAGAAAGTTTTGATTCGTTGATCCGACTTTATTATAGTTAAAGCTTAGTAAGCTATAATTAGGCCTAAGTTGTCCTGGATATTAAGTAGATCCCTGATAAAAGATCATGAAAAATTTGTTGGCGTTTCATTTTTACTATAATGGTGATGTGATGGTGATGAATTTTGCTATATAAAAGTGTCATTTCCGGCCATCTCGAGAGGTACCGTACTATTTCCTCAAATTTTTTTCACCTCAGCTCCAGCCATGGTGGGGCTGAGGTGGTTGTGAAATCACGTTTTTGAAGTAGGCCTATGTAAAGTACATACTCAAAGACAATGTTTTTAAGCTTTGTTTTCTGTGGTATATCACACACACATTAATAAGATCTCTATGGTTGTCAAAAATCCCTGATAAAAGATCATGAGAATTTTTTTTTGGCGCTTCATATTGACTAATGGTGATTTGATGATGATGAATTTTTGTCATTTCTGGCCATCTAGAGGTATTATTTCCTCAAATGTTCTCCCCTCAGCTCCAACCATGGTGGGGCTGAGGTGGTCGACTCACAAAATGCCCTCCCCCTCCACTTTCAAAACAGATATGTGCCCTTCCCTGGGTATGACATTAAACTCCATCGAATCGGCTCCTGATGTATGTCTTAGTGACTACTGTTTGTTTTTAGGATGTGATCTGGTTTTCCATGTCCATTTTTCGTGATTATGACTATTCTAGATAAAGAATGTTTTGAGCAGAGGTGGATTTAAGGCCCCTCCCCCCTTCATTTTTTAAGAAAAAAAAAAGAAAAATATATTCTAATTGAAGTGCGAGAGTGTAATTTCCGGCCGTCTAGAGATGCCCTAATCATAAATTTTACCTTACCTCAGGCCCAACCATGGTGAGGTTGAGGTGAGTGGTTCCTCAGTCTGTGACTGTCCCTCCCTGGCTTCCCCGACAGGGGGACTTGAGCTCGTAGGCTCGAGCTGGGAGAAGGGGTTGAGAGGGGGTTCCCCCTCCCAAATGAGATTTTTTTTTAAAGAATATCAACCTCTAGATGGCCGAAAATGGCACTCTCAGACTGTGACACACATTGTGTTGGCTTGGTGTGGGCCTATTTTTATATGTTTTATGGTCTGACTGCCCGACGAGGGGGGGGGGGCTTGACTTGTCCGGTGGGGGGCTTAAGCCCCCCTGCCACCCCGCTGGCGCCGCCACTGCCCTGGTTCACCTCTCTTACGAATTCCTTTATCTGCCACTGTTGATTTATTATACTTATTTTTTCGCTTATTTATAATGCGCCTTTTGCAATTTTCACTTTATCCTCTCAAACATCCTAACATCCTAAGAACGTTCAGAGTGCGCTACTTCACAGGGGGATTCGCCCCCTTGACCCCGCCGGGGTCCTACGTTATTCGCATAACGGCTCCACCCCCCCTTTCAAATTCCTGGCTACGTCCCTGCCTGAAACTGGCTAAAGAAACGTTATTTACAGTAATTACAGCAGTTTTGGGCCTTTTTAATTTTCGTTCGTTGTTTACATTGTAGATTCGTATTTGTTTTTTTCATTTACCTTATAATCAATTTATTGCCAAGAGTCTATAATATAATATAATAATATATATGGTGCCGGTGGCGGCGCTATGGGGTGTGGGGGGGTGGTGCTAGGGAGAGAAATAGCCCCCCCCCCCCCGTCAGGGAGAAAAACCACAATTCGTCGGGAAAAAAATTAGGCCTATATGTATTTTGTACATATTAATAGAATATATATTCGATTAAATATGCCTTTGAACCCCTAAATTGTCATATTTTCGGGGGTGAGGGGGTGGTGGCTACGTCTCGGACAACTTTCAAAAGGTATTTAGCGACGCCTGACCACTCCCACTTTTTTCTCATCGGGGACATCATTAATGGGTTTCTTGGGGACATCAGCCCTCCGTAGGGGACCTTGGACCCCTCGTCGGGGAAATCCTGGTGCCGCCACTGTCTGGTGCAAAACCTTTAACCTTAAATAATTGAAATTTGTTATAGGCCGAAGAAATATTTTCTCTATATTATTTTTAAAGGACAGCGAAAGTGATCGAAGTAGGCCCAAATGACACCGTCTTTATCAATACTGATATTAATATCTTCATGGATGTGTACTTCCATGATGTCGATATCAAATAAAACTGTAGTGACGGACCCAGAAATTCGAAATAAAGGGGATCCAGGGGGGACTTTCACATGGATTTATGATTATGTCACCTCAATGGTCCGTGCTCTAGATGGCCGGAAACGACTTAAATATGAATACAAATTTTCATTTTTTCCCTCCATTTTTGAATTAATTTTTGAATTTAGGCGGGGGCAGGTTGCACACTTCCCCTTTTCAAATATACAGAGCTGTTGAGCATTTTATATAGGCCTATAATAATAATAATAATAATAATAATAATAATAATAATAATAATAATAATAACAATAATAATAATAAGGCCTAATGATAGTAATAATAGGCCTAATAATAATAATAATAGATCTAATAATAATAATAATAATAATAATAATAATAATAAATAAGAATGATAATAATAATAATAATAATAATAATAATAATAATAATAATAATAATAATAATGAAATAAAGCGCCGGTATCCGTTACTGTAAACGCTCATGGCGCCCCTCCAAAAGAAATTCGAAATGTGAAATACTTTTTTTAACTTTCAGTTCATGACAGACAAGTGTATATTTAAATTTGACCTCATTGGAAATGTACTGGACTTGGCTTAATGGGCGTTCCTGATGCTCGGTAATTTTTATTTTCCTTTATCTCAATCCATTTGTTATCTTGCTTGTACATGTTGAACACCGAATAAATTCAATCAATCATTGAAAAAATATTATATCATGAAAAATGTTTTGTATGAAGATATAGTTATAGTATTATGTTTATTATTTGAATATACTTTATTTATGAATCTATATATTCATTTCTATCGAATAGTACACTTTTTATCAATTTTATTTGCCCATCACAATCGGAATGCTAACATAATTTGTATGCGCTATTGTGATATACTAGTCCTACTCAATACCATGTATTTAAAAATTGTCACATCATTCCGTAATATGATAATACTATAAATAATTAATATTTAATATGATAATGCTGATATAAGAATTGTGAAGTACTATAATGTTTTTGTCAGCAGCATTGTCGCATTGAATACAATAATGTTAAGGTTGGGGTGCTCACTAATTTTTTCAGTGGCGGATTTAAAAGGTGGGGGTGAGGGTGGGGGAAAGCCGGCCTGCCCACACCCCTAAATATTTTAAAATGATAAAAAAAAATTGGAGAAAAAAAAAAGAAAATTACATTCAAATTTAAAATCTGAGAGTGCTCCTCTATTTCAAACTCATGGATCTGCCATTTTTTATTTATATATTATGTTGTGATGATACTCCATTATAATTCTTTCTCTGTTTCTTAATCTTTTCCTAATATTTTTCTATTCCAGTGATGTAGACAAAGAAGCCACAACTATCAGAAAAGAATGTCCGGACTGAAAGGGCAACAGAACTTTCAAATTATTCATAGATAGTAATATTGTATTATTACTGCTAATGTTTATCTTATTAATATAGTAGCCCGTTTGTTGTGAAGAATATAGACATGTAAGATAATAAGATATAACATTTTGAGGATTAAAATCAGGTCTATTGATTTTTACCGGATGTACATGATATAAACCTACAGTATACATAAATATAAAATGTATACATATATCCCAACTTGATTTCAATGCTTGAAAATAAATATCAAATGAAATTGTGCATCTCTTCTCATCTTATTTAATGTCTGTGTTTACGGTAATAAATTCAATAGCTAAAATTATAGCCTTATTATAACCTTAAACCAAAAGTGAAGAATTGCTTCATCAATATGTGCTACTTTAGTTATTAAACCAGCAATTCTTTTGAGGACGCCCTCAAGAAAACATAAAACCGGAAATGACGTGGTTGCTAAGCAACAAGCTCATGCATAATCATGAATATTCAGTGACATCTGTTCTAATTAGACTAACAATAAAATCTTTTTGGTCGATTTTGCCAAAATTGAGCTAAAAGTTTTTATTGTTAGTCTAATGAGCACAGCTGTTACTGAATATGCATGAGCTGTAGCCTAGCAACCGACGTCATTTCCTGTTTTGTAAAATTCGACAGCACCTTGCACTGAGAAGTTTCGAAATTTGTTGGTATCATGTGAATATATTTGGAAAGAGTGTAATAGTGCTATAGGCCTATTCGAATTCGAATTGATTATAATATATTTAATTCGATTATATACTGATTAATAATCATGAAATATACAATATTATTATTAATACAATTACAACAAAGGAAGTACACACAATGATGTATTATAAATTACACTACAGTTTACTTTTATTTCTTGCATACTCGGAGATGTTACATCAGAACTATGTAAACGTAATATAGGCCTAAATAGAATATAAAGATTCTAGTTTTATTTAATATAATATAATAATGCTTATGAATAATTATATTTAAGTATGTAATGTCGATCGAGAATTTACGTTCGTTGTATAAGAAACATAATTGGCAAATTTTATTCAATTCCGGCGATCCAGTGATATAAATCATAATAAATATCCGCGCACGATTATTTGTAGAATTAAGACCTCATAAATCCGGCTATTGATAGCATCTTGTGTTCCGGCAATTTAATACACATCGTGTTCTGCTGGCAATGTTTGTACATCGACTTCGCACTTATTGATGTAGATTTGACCTGAGACACTGGAATAAAAGTGATTGAACTAGTGAGAAATACATTCAAACTATTTTCATTTTGGCATCTGTGTCAAGTTAGGCCTAATTAAGTATAAAAGATTAACAACATTTTTAGAGACTTTATGACATTCATACCTTCATGAAGTATATGAATACAAATTCAGAAAATAAAATTGGTTGTTTGATTGATTGATTTAATACATTATGTAAAGTGTACATGCTACTAAAGCGTTATTTTAATGTGAGTGGGTGAGTACGCTCCCCACCCCAAATCGACAAGGTCCAAATTTTTAAGAGAGTCGAAAATGTACTGAATACACATTTTTTAATTTTTTTTTGTAATTAAACTTAAAAGCGAATATTAAATCTTAACATTTTAACCAATTCTCTGTCGGGCCCCTGTGTCGTTCTATAATAACAAAGCTGCTGTCCAACCTGCTTTTCCCCTTAACGACACCTGGAGTTTTAAGTGACCCCTCCACACTTGGTATGATCATTACATCTTATGTTCCTATCTGAGCACTGTTATTATTTTATCTTATTTATTTATATAGCATTTCGAAAGACGGTTTAGATTTTCACTACATCCTATGTTGATTTATATACATATATATATATATATAAATTAGGCATCAATGTGATTGGGGCACGTATGTTCCGGTCCTATCATATGTAGTGAGACTGAGAACAAGTAACAGAAAACGAGGGTTGACGTGTTTCAGGAACATAATAATATATATATTTTAACACAAATATTTCGGTCGTCCCTGCAACCTTCTTCAGTGTGAACTGAACATACAACAAACTTTGCATAGAGTATATTGGCACATCAAGGAAGTAATTAGGCATAAATATTAGCATGACAAAATAAGGTGATTAATGGAATAACTAATTGTTTATGTGTGGTC